ATATATATATATAAGAATTGAAGTTTATATGTTAGATATTTAAATAAATAAGAATTGAAGGGTATGTATATAAATGCACCTTTTTCTAAAAAAAATATAAAAATGGAAACTGAAGTGTATAAAAATACATACACATGATGCTCAGTGCGAAGGCCACTTATATGCTTTAATTTGCGAGCTTGGATAGAAGCAGCTTCTGCACTTAGCTCAACTAATGCCTTGGATATATCATTATCAGGGATCTTCATATCATTTTCTTGAATAAAATTCTGTAACTTTTTTCCAAACTGCTTCAAATCAAGCTTTATAGTAGGAATTTCATCATCTTCGTAGAATGCATCTTCTATGTCTGTGTCTAAAATCTGCAACGCTTCAAGAGGCGGTGATGGTGGAGGCTCCTCTATGATGGGAGATGGCGGATGCTCGATGACGGGATCACAATTATCACAAAGTACTCCAGAGACCTGGCGATTATTATACTGAAGCTGTGGTATTGCGTCAAGGGAACTGCAGCCAGTTGAATGAGTAAAAGGAAATGGAGTTTTAAATTGTTTCTCGTCCGGTGCTGGAAGTGCAAGCTTTGCGCTGCATCAATGGAGGAGCAACATTAGTAGATTAATAGATTTCTCACTCCCTCATCTTCCACCTGCACAACTTCCTTTCTATCTATCACGGATTCTCCCTCAAAAAGCAAAGAGATCGCAGTATTAGTAACAAAAATGCGTAAACAACTTTGATTCAATTAATAGTTGACATGTTGAAAAAAGGAAGAGTTCATTTAGGTCCATTTGATAATACCTCCCTTTACCACCAACCGTTTTTGCAAAAAGAAAGAACAAAGAATGAAGGGATAAAATGGAAAAAAAAAATTAACTCTTTACGCAAGCAAAAAACTTCAATACTTTTATTGATTGCTAATGACGGCTTTATTGTCACAAAATAGCTAGAAAGAATCAGTGATCAGCATAAGTAACTCAGTGAACATAATGCACAACCAGAGGGTTTCACACACCCCTGTCGGCCAATTTTTCGATGTGAAAAATTTAATTTAAATATATACAAGGTAAAATGTTTAGATTATGAAAGTAGTGTTTTAATTTTTTAGAAAATGAGACCGAATGGATCTCGTTAGTCCAACTTAGAAAATGAGACCGAATGGATCTCATTAGTCCAACAATTTGCATAATCGTGCCTGATACCCTGAATACTACGCATTTCAAGAGAAAAGTGTAGACCCCGGTAATAGGTCCAATCCTGCAAACTAAGAAATTTGTGCATAATCGAACATCAGGGATCAACTTTAAGCCCATATCTTTTTG